CTGGACGGTCCAGATGGGTGATGAGCATTGGGTGCTCATCACCTGATGAGCACCCAATGCAAATCCCCGTCACAGAGCTAACTCATTCATTATCCCCTTCTCATCCATTCATGCATCCTCCTTTTCTTTATTCTCACTTTGGGCACGCCGCATGCCACGTTGGTTCTTGTCGCTTTTATTACTGGCCTCTTTTGACAATAATTTTATACTTTTGATTATTTTACTTTATACAGACTTTAGTTTGATTTTTTAATTTTATAAATTATTTTTTTATTTATCTAATTCTAACGCTATTAGTTTTATTGGTGAAAAATATTGGCATTACAATTTCAAATGTCAATAGAATATTTTGAAATAACATATTAAACTTTTAAAAATTAAAATAAATAAAATAAAATATTATTATTTATTCTTGTTCTGTTGCAATTTAAAATTGCAACTAAATTTCTCCCCGCGTAATACACATACTAGTATATTTGATTAGATATGTAATTAGACAATACTTATATCTAATTTAATATATTCAAATCTCAATTAAGATTTTATTTAAATCCAAAATTAATTATTATTTTTCTAAATTGGGCTTCCAATTAAAATCTCATTTAATTATATTGCTATCTATTTAATTTAACAAATTTAAATCCCAATCGAACTATTATTCAAATTGCACATTGTCATACCCGACTCATTTTTAAACGAATCAGGTATTACAAGGTTTTAAGAATATAGCTTATTGATAGCTTCCATCTTTAAAATCATTTCAAGCTGCCTTTTTTATTTTTAAAGATTAAATATAAGATATTATGAACTATGATATTATGAACTATTCGTTATCTTTGACTGCGTACAAATTATTTTAATATTCAATACCCATTAATCCAATCTTTCTAGTAACTTTTTAGGTATTTCCAACAGCTGAATATTCAACTTTAGGGCATAGACATTAGAAGAGTAGATTTTCCTATGTATAATTAATCAATAAAAGAAAAAAAAATTCCATGCTTTTAGTTATTGAATCATATTAAACAAATATTATAATTCATTCTCTTTTCTTTTATACAATATTATAATTTATTCTGAATAGACAATGAGAAAGACATATTATTGGGTCTTTATATAAGGGGTCTTATATAAATAAATAAAATAAATAAATAGTACCATTTCTTTTTAATGTGATGTATGAATATAGACTAACAAGTATAGCAGAAGAACCGGTCACAAGAACCATTAGTGAACCAAGTATAGCAGAAGAACCGGTCATAAGAGCCATTAGTGGGGACTACATTTGAAATTGAAGTAAAAGAAGACAACAACCTCAATGAGATTGACATTTTTTTTTTGGGAAGATGTCAAGAAGCTCTACATTCAAGAATCGGTTGGATTAATTAATAATAAATTAGAAAATTAATACTCTTCCGGTCTTTAATATAAAAACCATTTAACTAATTTGATTAGATTAAGGAAGTTAGGTAAGTTAGTTAATTATAAAAAATGTGACACGTTTTTCCTAAAACACCATAATCATCTTTCTTAATACCCATTCTCCCTCTTCTACTTGATTATAATTAAGGGAATATCTATAGGGGTAATTTAGAAAAAAGTGATAAATATGACAAATAGGTCTTATATTTAGAATCAAAACTAATTCAATAATTGGGTTTTATACTAAGGAACTGAAAAGTATAATGAGATAACTTTCTTTTTAATGATTCCGTTCACGTATGTACTTATGAGTCAACGATCTAGTTTCAAAAAACTACAATTCAATCACATGAAAATAATCAATTGCACGTTCGAGATGATGGCCCCGCTATATTTATTGGCTATTAGACTAATCCAATTCTGACCCTTTTGATATTTGAAATCTCTCTTTTGAACCCGAAAAATAAAAGGGAATTTTGGTTAAAAATAGTTTGGAAATTTTATTGGCTAAAGGTAGTGGTGCAACTCATTTTTAATAATGCAATTTTACTTGGTTTATGTACAATTTATTTTTAACGATATATGCATATTCATAACAGAGGTCATTTGCACAAAACTGAAAATATGTTAGGGGAAATCACAAATAAAGACCCTCGAATTAGCAAAATCACTCTATAGTCATCTGAATAAGCCAAATTACCATGAGGGACCGGGTCTCAAATTACAATTATGAAATCATGGCCAAATTACCAAAATACCCCTCTTTAATTTTTTTTTCTAAAAAAAAGAAAGCCACTGCCTCATCGGAATCCGACCACCGGTGCCGGAGCTCTGGCGGCTGCTTCCGGCCACTGCCGATGGCCTTCCTGTTTTTTTTTTTTTTGCAACTGCTTTTTTTTTTAAATAGTGGGGGAAGTGAGGTTGGGGGGATTTCATCCCCCAACCTAATGCTTCCCAAAATAAGGAATGACCATTGAGCCAACAAATTTTTGTTAACATTATAATGCAAAAAAAAATATAAGTTAACTCATTTACTCTTGTTCCAGGTGATAACAACAATACATTTGGAAATAACAAGTTCTGATTGTAAAATAACACGCATGGAATAAAAATTTAACAATATGTTTTTTTTATAACAATAAATTTTGTTGCAGGTAATAACAACAATACATTTAAAAATAACAAGTTCTTATTATAAAATAACAAGTTTGGGATTAAAATTTAACAACACGTTTTTTTTATAACAACACACTTTGTTTCAAGTGATAACAATAATACATTTAAAAATAACAAGTTCTGATTATAAGATAACAAGTCTGGGATTAAAATTTAACAACACGTTTTTTTTTATAACAACACACTTTGTTTCAGGTGATAACAACAATACATTTGGAAATAACAAGTTCTGATTGTAAAATAACACGTCTGGAATAAAAATTTAACAATATGTTTTTTTATAACAATAAATTTTGTTGCAGGTAATAACAACAATACATTTAAAAATAACAAGTTTTAATTATAAAATAACAAGTTTTGGATTAAAATTTAACAACATATTTTTTTATAACAACACACTTTGTTTCAAGTGATAACAACAATACATTTAAAATAACAAGTCTGGGATTAAAATTTAACAACACATTTTTTTTATGACAATTAATTATTTTATACTTTTGAAAAATAAATTATTTATAACTTATAAAAATATTTTTAATATATTTATTTCTCTAAAATATACTTTTTAATCTATATATCTATACAACTCATTATAAATCAAACTACTTCTTATAAATTATAAAGTATTTATAATTAGGTATTTTAATCTATTAATCATAGTATAAATTTTATATTATTTCATTCTTTAAATATTAAAAATAGTTTTTATATTTAAAGAATAAAATAGTATTTTTAATTATAAATTAGAGATAAATTTCATTTATAAATTTAAGCAGTCAAAAAGTATTTTTAATCCACAATAAATTGTACTATTTATAATTTATAAGAAGTAGTTTGATTTATAATGAGTTGTATAGATATATAGATTAAAAAAAATTAAAAAGAAAATAAAAAAAGTGTGTTGCCATTTTCCCTAAATTTTATTTATAAATTTGAACAATAAAAAAGTATTTTTAATCTATAAAAAATTATACTTCAAGTTCTGATTATAAATTGGAGATAAAAATTATTTTTTTAACAAATTAAATAGATTACAAGTACTTTTTATAAGTTATAAATAATTTATTTTCCAAAAGTATAAAATAATTAATTGTTATAAAAAAAAAGGCGCTGTTAAATTTTAATGCCATACTTGTTATTTTATAATCAGAACTTGTTATTTCCAAATGTATTGTTGTTATCACCTGAAACAAAGTGTGTTATTATAAAAAAAACGTGTTGTTAAATTTTAATCCCAGACTTGTTATCTTATAATCAGAACTTGTTATTTTTAAATGTATTGTTGTTATCACTTAAAACAAAGTGTGTTGTTATAAAAAAAAACGTGTTGTTAAATTTTAATCCCAAACTTGTTATTTTATAATAAGAAGTTGTTATTTTTAAATGTATTGTTGTTATTACCTGCAACAAAATTTATTGTTATAAAAAAAATATAGTGTTAAATTTTTATTCCAGACGTGTTATTTTACAATCAGAACTTGTTATTTCCAAATGTATTGTTGTTATCACCTGGAACAAGAGTAAATGAGTTAACTTATATATTTTTTTGCATTATAATGTTAACAAAAATTTGTTGGCTCAATGGTCATTCCTTATTTTGGGAAGCATTAGGTTGGGGGATCAAATCCCCCCAACCTTACTTCCCCCACTATTTAAAAAAAAAAAAAGCAGTTGCAAAAAAACAAAACAAAGGAAGGCCACCGGCAGTGGCCGGAAGCGGCAGCCGGCGCCTGAGCTCCGGCGGCCGGACCCCGCCGGCAGTGGCCGGAAGCGGCCGCCGGAGCTCCGGTGAAGCAGTGCCTTTCTTTAAAAAAAAAAATTAAAAGGGGTATTTTGGTAATTTGACCATGATTTCATAATTGCAATTTGAGACCCGGTCCCTCATGGTAATTTGGCTTATTCAGGTGACTATAGAGTGATTTTGCTAATTCGAGGGTCTTTATTTGTGATTTCCCCAATATGTTATACACAACTAGTTTTTTTTGAAAAAAAATTATACCCACTCAACTTCAAATCTTTTTAATCAATGAAATCTTTCAAACAAATACTTTTAATTGATTTTCTCAAAAAGTTAAACTAAGTATCCTCTAATTCTATTTATAGGTAGAAAGAGAAGAAATTTTCTTATCCTATTTATATGACAGAGATAAATTTTTCATATAAACATATAATTTTACTTTTTATTCATTATTTGTTATTATGTTGACTTTGCTTTTATTTGTATAATACATATTAAATAGAGATAAAGGTGAAAAGTTATTAAATTTTAAATTAGAGTTAATAAAATTTTAAATTTTTTTAAGCCTAAATGACTTATAAATGGGATCATAGTAGATACTAGTGGTAGCAATAGGAGGCTGTGAAGTCAACCCTCCTTGTAAGTATGTCCATATAATATATGTGAAAATTTTTAATATTTATTTTTAAAAAAATTCAAATCATGTTAGATAACTGAGGGAACTCACCTGTATCGAGGTTGGCTATAATCACGTCTTCACCAAATCTGGCTTTGTTCCATAATGAGCTGGAAGGTATCACTCCATTCTGTTCTAATCCAAGGAAATCCCATGACCTTGTGGTGTGTAGTTTCCTTCCCCTGTTCATGAACACCGACAACACTCTGGGATGCCCTGTTTTGCCCGCCAAAAAAGAAAATGCCTCAGAAAACGAAAGAAACAGAGAGAAAATAATAATAAAACCACAAGGCTCTGTTTCTCACTCGCTATCTCCTCTGCCACATCTTGTTCCAGAGTCGCAGCAAAACCGTTTATATGCCTCGTGTATGAGTAAAAGATCAATTCTTTTGCTGTATCAGAACTACAATGGAAGCAAAATCAAGCATTTTAAGGTTTGACCATATATATGTATATATGTTTAGTTCAGATATGAATCTTATAAGCATACCTTCCCAGAAAAGATCCCAGAAACTCATAGTGGGAGTTTCTGACATTAAAATCAGTAGAAGACAAGTCTGGATCATGTGAGTGGGATCCCAAGTAGACGATATATGGCTACAACCACCACCAGAAAGATTAAAGATGTTTCACATGTAACAAATCACAGAGAAGAACTAAGTTTTGTTTGGATTTTCAGAGCTGAGATTGATGCTTATTTACCATTTTCTCAGCAAAACAGGGATCTTGCAGAAGACAGATGAGCAGGATTTGAAGAAGAAAGTGATGATGAGAGGCAGAGGAGCTCATTGGTTTCCTCATTCTGCTTAATGCCTTCGCCTGTCTTCAACTTTGGCCTAGTAGAGCTCCTATATATAGATTATAAGTAGGGCAGACCCATATAAGGAATCATACAATTTTAAATCAGGACAAACAAAAAGGGAAATATACTTCAACAGTTTTAGTCACAAGAATGAAATCTTAATGCATCATCTTGTTGGTGTTGATGTAGATGGTTTGCGGGATCAAAAACACATAAAAATGCTTGTTGGCTTAGGAGCTGTTTGGATATTGCCAAAATCACTTCCTAAAAACATTTTTCTGTAAAACAAGACAAATTCCTCTAGATACTTATTTCGTAAACCATAAAAACACTTTTGAAACCGTAGTTTGGTTTTTATCCAAACACTTCCTTAAATGATTCTGTAGTTGTTCTTTAGATTATTATTACCAGTGGAATTTTACATGTGTAATATCTTATTTGACTCTAGTTTAAATTAGTTGGAGTTCAATATTACTTTTGAAAGACCTTTCTAATTGCTATATCTTTAAAAGAGGAAAAAAAAAATCTTTTTAATGTTTGTGAATATGAAAAATTGCTTGGAAAGTCCCTTATTACAGAAGCTTTTTTATTTAAAAATACCTTAAATTTCTTTAAGGAGTAAATTTGTTCAAGGATCAAGATATAACTTATTTTCAGTTGTGTGCATAATGAAAGACATTTGCATATAAGTAAAAATATAGTGTATACAACTGAAAGAAGAGTTGCACTCGCCGAAAAAAATTATATATACATATGTATATGTGTATGGATAAAAGAGTTACATTCGCTTAAGGAAGGACGGCCTTAGCACCTCATATTCTAATAATTTGTTTTGGCTGTGAACAGGCTATGGTTTTTGCCTTGAGATGAACAAAGAAAAAAAATAATTATAAGGTGATGATTCTTAAGGGGTCAAATTGGCACTTGATTAATAATTGTAGGGCCGTTTGAATTGTAATTTGTATGAAAACAATGAAAATGTCAAATCCACAGTGACTGGGGACCATAAAGAGAATTTTTTTTTTTTTTGGATGTAATTGCACGTTTGAATGAGAATCTACACCACTGTGGGACAAATGCCACACATTTCATGGCATGATTGATTGTCTTGATAGATAAGTACAACAAAATTACAACTATATAATTTTATAAAATTTATTATGTTAGGAGATTTAAAAATTAAAATAATGTCTCTTGAAGACGAGAGCTACCATTTTTTAATGTGTCTATTTCACATCCAATATTATCAAATGATAGTTAAACAGCAAGATTCAAGATTCAAGATTCAAGATTCAAGATTCAAGATTCAAGCCTGCATTATATAATAGATGCAGATATTATATTTATCATAATTTTTTCTTACTTTATACTCCTCCGGTCCTAAATGTAAGGCCCTGGCCTTACATTTAGGACCGGAGGAGTATATTGGACCTAAGAATCTAAGTCCTTCTTTCTCGCTTTTTTTTTAAAAAAAAAAAAACCGAAGTCTTCACGTGAGATGTTAAGGTCGGTACCAATTAAGTGATGCTGGCTTCTTTGAATTGCACGATTTATCTATTTTAAAGAATAAAATGTAAACATTTTTATGGAAATTTTGTAAAGATTAATAATGCTAACTTTAATCGCAATTTATATCCATTTGGATCCTTGATAATTTAAAGCAAAAAAATTGTTTATTCTGCATTTATATCTTAAAATGAAATTTATGATTTAGAAGAAATTGTCAAAGGTAGGTCTATTTTTGGACATAGTGAGTTAGGCTCTAACCTAATTTGTCAAGCTCGAAAAGCTTGTATATACCACTTCAACCCAAGAAGACAAATTATTTTAAAAAGATGTTTTTTGCAGGCATGTACAAAATTTGTGCATCATGAAAAGGGCAAAGAAATATCTCTTAAGTCTTAACACCATTTGTTACGTTGAAAGAATTTCAAAGAAATGAAATTGGAAAAAAAAAAAGATTAAAAGAAATAGATTTTTGATGCAATGCATTCTTTTTTCTCCCTCTATTATATACATTTGCTAGGTAAATAAAAGTAAATGAAACCTATACACATTAAATGATATCCATGAATGCTTTTTTTTTTATGCGTATATATTCTATTGTTGGAGATAATTCTGTCCAAAATATGATCGAGCACGGCAATTTAAATCTTAATTCACTACACATTGTGAGAAATTAACATGTTGTTATACCACTCTCATTGAAAATGTGTTAAAATATAATGTTGAAAATGGGAACTCAAAGCTAGTACAACACATTTGAAGAGCATAGGAAGGAGAGGGAGGCACATTATGGCTAGCTAAGAGAAAAATGTTCATAAAACTTGGAAAACGATAACAAAATGGTCACTCAAAATTGAATTCCATGAGAGAGTTTTTTATTCCTTGGTAGATAAGAAAGAAAGAGAAAGAGTCCATCAATTTGGGGCTTATTATTATCCTTGTTCTTTTTTTTGTTCTTTGTTCCTTTTCTTTTTTAAAAGTGGGAAGGAAAGAAGTCACTTTTGTTTGTTTGTTTGTCTTTCTGAGAACTAGATTTTGATCGCTAAACGTATCCACACGACAAAAGGCCATACATAGTGATCCAAAAATGTTAAAACCCCTTGGAGGGGCAATTCCATTAGTACTCATGACCAGTATAGTTTATAAATGTCATTTTGCATAACAATGTTACGAGAAAATGGTAGGTTTTTAAAACATCGTGAAACCGCAGAGGCGTCAAGCTCACTATAGTATGCCAAGTGGCGCTGATTAGATACGATAAAACAAATACTTCAAAAATGTCTTAAGCAGAAGAGTCCAATTTCTTTTGATGATCAAAGAATGGAGTACGAGGATTGAGAATTTTCAAAAACGAAGTACTGGATACAACTTAGATGATTAAGTTTTTAACAGTTACTACTACTTTTAAATATTTCTAATATAGAATGTGAATATTTAAAATCCAAATTTACTGATATGATTTTTCTTAAGTGGGCAAGTCAGGATCAGACTCATAATCCGCACTATGAAATGCCAGCATAGCACCATTAAACTAAGTCTGTCTTCAACGTAATTCTTTTTATCCTATTTATAAGTTATTTCAATACTTCATCAAAATTAAGTATGATGCCTCATTAACTCTATCATAAAATTTAATAATTTTTCAAATTTACACCCATTTAATACTTACCCTTTTCAAAAAATAACAAACCACACAATAATAAGAAGTAGACAGCTTGAGCAAAAAAAAATCTCCTCTCCACCTTATAAACAGAACTGGATCCGGAGTATGGAGTTAGTTAGGAAGACATAAAGAGAAGAGGTAAAGTGGGGACAAGTTTGGGGAAGGCAGAACAATAAATTTGATTGGCCAAAATACACGGAGCCATGCTGTCCCAGGTGTACACATCTCATTAGACGTGGGTGTTCCTCGTCTTTCTCATTTGCTCAAACTTCGTAAACAGAGATTCTTTCCATCAAGCATTACGAGTACTCCTATTAATTTTGCACAAAAGATACTCTGACATGGAACTAAGTAGGATGTTAAACGGGGAATAATTCCTCCCCTTTTTCCCCTCCACAAAAACTTTTTCTAGAACTGATTCTATGCTACTTTTTCAGCAACCAAAAAAACTTTTTTATTTAATCTAAATTGTTTAGATTATTTATATATCGCTTGGTTGCAAGTCTTCCAATCTATGACTAATCCGAACCCAAGGTATTGTTGGATCCAAATTGAAGGGGGCACGCGTAAAGACCTTTTCTTTTCTTTTTTTGCATATAAACACACTTGAATGACTTTCTAAACTAGCTTCTTCAATCATGGATTTTTATAATGTTAGGTCATAGGTGTTGAGCTTGAGAAGGATTTGTTAGTTTATGCCTTTTGGGTTGGCCTAGTCTTAAGGGCCGATCAATACTATAGATGGACGTGGTCCAGTATCAGTACAACGCCTAATAATAATGGTAACTTCAAAGAGAAGAGTACCTTTTAGAGCATCCCTCTTGATGATGTATGTTTGGTCAGATCAAGGTTTAAGTAGGCAGATCAGAAAATTTTGTGGAGTTTATACTCCTGTACAGTTAATATTTTTTTCACCAAGAAAGGGCACCTATTAGTACAATTTCAGACCTATCATGTGACAGATGTTGAATTTTTTCAGTACCATTAATGCTAATATAGATATCTTCTAAGTGCAATTCTACAAGCATCACATGCTAAAGACTCAACATTAAAGTCAAACAAGCAAATTTGCTTATACTTGGTTACTCTACTTTGAAATTGCTAGTAACATTTACAGAGCACATGTAAAATTTGTCTTGCGATGTCAATTATTAGGCTTTTCGAAGAACCAAGGCCAACATGTAGCAGAGAGCAGAATCAACTGATGCGAGTGCCACAATAAGCAGTGCAACAAGGACAAGAGTCAGAGTAGCAGTCCTTACCTGCAGAGTCCCACAATTCAAAATCTTCAATCAACAAATTCTCAGAAAGCAAGGCAAACTGTGGCTGTGACATGGGAATCTCCAGGATCGCAAGAAGACTCAGATCTATAATTTCACGTGTGACGACAAAGGGGAAAATACATTCTAACCCCTATATTAAAACCTAAATATATTTCTGTGCAGCTAACATTTAAAAAAAAAAAAAAAAAACCACACACACACACTCTTCATATTCTTTCTCACAAGATAAAAACCAAAAAACTTTAAATGGAGTGTTTTGTACTCTTTCCAAGGGATTTTTTTCCCCCCAATCACACTTGAAACTGATATAAAATATTAGGATAATAGTTAGACCTTAATTCTGAGATGTAAAACATACTTTTCCGAACTATGAACTTCTGAGACTTACCGTATTACTAAAGCTCGGCCATTCTATGTACTTCAACTGGCTCGGTTGCTCAACCAAAAATGCAAATAAAGATTTTACTCCCCTGAGATTGAACACGCAGTTACGGGGTGAATATAACTTATTTTCTATTGTATAGAAACAGAATTAGGAAACTCAATTAGATATTAATAAAAACATTATATTATTTATACTGCAGTCTCATGATAAACTTTCAAACAATACCATATCACGTCTGTGATGAGACTCAGCCAAAAAGGCTCCTGAGGGAATTCATCACCAAATCTCAATTGATCATTCTTTGCAGCAGACACCACTAGTTTGGTGCCAAAATGGCTTCTAGGAAAATATTTTATCTTTGCTCTATGAATCTGCTCACACAAAACAATATAATCTTAATGATATTGCCCCTTAAAATCACAATAAAAGAGCCACAATGTGAATGAGGAAGTTAGGAAGAGGAAGAGAGACAAGACATCATTACTGTTCTAGATGTTGAAGGAAGGGCTTTGTGGTGAACAACTCCGGTAGCAGAGTGTGCCGGAAACTTTGATAAAAACGGAATATTTTGATGAAGGAAAACTATAAAACATAACAGAAAAATGTCAAATAAAAGCAAAATCAAGCATTCATGTGCAAAATCGAAGAGTTGGAAGAAACCTGAACATTTTGCTGGCAATACAGAAGGAATCACCATCTCAGACTGAATTTTTAGCAAGCCAGAACCCACTGAATGTATGGAAATCAGCACAATGTAATAGAAATATGCAACCTCAAACAAAACTTTTCCTTCCTCAATATCTGTGCATTGCAAAGAAGAATGAAAAACATTTAACCCAAAAGTAGTCCAGGGTCTCAGAGTAAGCACGTGCGTGAGTGTGTGTACCAACTTTCAATCTTATTGGAAAAAATAAACTCAGGCCTGCAGATTTGCACAAATTAAGTAGACATAATTTATGGAAACCAAGGTAGTGCAGGATGCCTCAGTCACGCATTAAATACTATGGGATGCAATAAGTTTTGGGGGAAGGTTTTTCATCCCACCCAGGTTTCCATAATCAAAGCTTCCCCATACGATGTTCGTAGATATCAAACGAGACAAGCAGGCAAACTTGAGATCCGTACAAGCTTAGAAGAAAGACATCTTAGTCAACATAGTCATAACTTGCAGCAGACAAAATTGGGTAGAATTATGAATATGCACCAACAGGAAAGTCTAAAAGTATCCTCATAAACAATACTAGACAGAGAAGAAGCTATTTTGAGGTGACTAGCATATAAATAGTGTGAATAGCATTTTTTTGCACATGATAACATTTAACAATTTCAGGTAGCAATTGCCCTCGAGAACAAACTAAAACAATGACAATATAGATTCATATATGTAGCTGTACTCAAGCTATTCCGTGCTTAACCTAAGGACAACACACCATTTAATCTGAAAATTAACTTAACCCCAGAAAACGTTTTACAACTATTACTATCTCTCCCAAAAAACATTATTAAAAAAATAAACTGCTCTAACATCAATGTTCAGGACTAACATAGTATCCACTCAGAGGGCACTATCGTGGTTGGAGGATTGTCCTTCGGATTGTTTGTAATTTGTTAATTTTAACAGGATTGTTTCCTTCAGGCTTTTACTTGCCTCTCCAGTCAAGAAACAATTTTAAAAAAAAAGTTTATATTTTAAGATTACATTTCTGACTGTGATAAAATTCTACAACAGGCAAGATAATGGCAGGCAATCGCTAGCAATGTCATCAACGATGCTTCCATTCAAACATCAAACTTACTATATCTGACAAATAATCACAACGGCAAGACTCCTAACAGACAATAATGAGATTTTATGTCAAACAAATAAGGGGCAACCCAGAAAAAGAACCATATAGCATGCTATAGGAGTTATGCTACTAACGAATATCTCAATATGCAAAGAAAGAGCGTCACATCGTCGACTCCGCTGTTTTTAACTTCCACAGTACTCTCATCGACCATGATTGATAACCAAATCACTTTTTAATTTTCATCAATAGCTACCATGTTCAGTCCCGCCCAAATTATCTCGAACAGATAAGAGGCGTCCAAGAAAGGAGCCTCCATTTCATAATTTGCCAGCGGGTGTTTCAACTCTATTGAGTACTATATTTGAGAAATAATATTTCAGACCGTAAAACACTTCAGAGAGATATTTTCCCGCGGGCAACCATACAGCCACTGCTAAAGTGCTCTATATTAAAAAAGACAAAAGAACGCCCTCAGAGCGCGAGATTTTAAAGACAGAGGAACCAAATCTCAATCAAAATGCTAAAGCTCAGACGCAAAATACTATGTTCAATTAAAAATAAAAAATCCGTCACGAAATCACAAAATCAATGTCAAAGTTGAGGCTCAAAATACATACCAATCACCCAGTAAGCAAGCAAAAAAAAATAGCTTCGAGAGGAGTCACAGAGCTTCCAACGAGTTCAGACAAGAGACATGGAAAGAATTACTATGCGTATCAGAGATTCCTACAAGTAGAAAAGAAGCGCGAAGCCAAGCCCGGATTCGTTGGCCGCAACGCCAGGAAATCGAAGCTCGAACTCGTGGGCTCGGGCTCCTTCCTCGACGATTGTTCTAGTTGTTTGGGTTGAGTTCGGGTCGAACTGATGAGACCGTAGGCTTCAGCCTAATACAAATATACTCCTCCGGTCCTAATTATAAAACCCAATTGACTTATTTGAGGAGATTAAGGAAGTAAGTTAAGTTGGTTATTTATAATAAATAAGTGTTGTCATTCCTAAAATATCCTTGCTAATTAAGTATATTGGCTAAAACTATCATTATTAGAAGGATTATCTTGGAAAAAAATGCATAAATATAAGAGACAAAATGGATTGAGTCTTATAATTAGAACCAAATAAAAAGTCAAATTGGGTCTTATAATAAGGACCGGAGGAGTAATATTTATCAATTTTTTTTACTTACTCTTAGATACTCCCTCAAGCATAATCAAGTAGAAAAAAAAGAAAGAATATTAAGAAAGATAATTACGGTGTTTTAGAAAAAATATGTCGTATTTCTTATAATTAACTAACTTACCTAATTTTTTAATCTAATCAAATTAGTTAAATATATCTTATATTAAAGATCGGATCATCTGTAAAAGCCTATCAATTTATGGGCTAGTTGTAGCCCGTTTAACATATTTATCAAATATTGATGCCGAAAATTATTAGTGTCCATTTTTTATTACCAGATTTTTTTTTGCATTACCGGAATTATTATTGGAAAAATGGCAAATAAAGATTCCTGGATATGTGAAATTGCTAAATAGGTTTCACAATATGAAAAAGGGCCTCAACAGACCTGATCTTATATTGCAAATATAAAACGATGATGAAATATCTGAAATGTCTTTCTTTTTTCTTTTTCTTCCTCTCCAAATTTCCTTTCCTTTCCTTCTTCTCTTCCCCTCTATCTTCGTCCTTCTCTTTCCTCTTGTTCTATCATAATTATTTGGTACGCCATATCTTCTCCAAACTTATGATTGGAACAAGTATAATGATTGTATTTTGGTGGCCAAATCAATTAAGGTGTGGAATGCGAGGAACAAACAAGCTCCAATTACAATGCTAAATGGGCATGGCTATGTGGTAAAGTGAATAAAGTTCTCCCTTTATATGTAGAATTTGATGGTTTCTTGTTCATATGATATGACTGTTTGCATTTGGGATTTTATGGTTGAGGATGCACTTGTGAGTTGATATGATCATTGAAGTGCATTTTACTGGTGGTGTTGATATGAACATGCTTCTTGAAGGGCTCATGACAGTTCTAATGCTGTAGTTTTATATATTGAGAAGAAATGAGAGGTGAAGTTGATGATGAAAGATGTTATTTAGAGGAAGTTGTTGTTAGTTTGAGGTGCACTTATCACTGAATCTTGCAAAAACTGGTTGCTGTCAAAGCACCTCTATTTTTTTGTTATTTGACTTACCATTATTGTAATTTTGCTTGTTAGTGTTGTAACTATGTAATGTGAAAATAATGGCAACTTGTCATGAAATTTCTGATAAGCAATTTATAGGAATTTAAGATTCTTTGTTAAATTGATAATTTTCACAATTCCTTGGCGAATAACAAGTTCAGTAACGCATATAACAAGTTTCGATAATCATTTCATAGGAATTTAAGTTTCTATGCCAAAATGACAGAATTTTCCCAATTCCTTGGCGAATGACAAGTTTAGTAAGGTGAATGATAACTTTAGATAAGCAATTAATCAGAATTTAAGATTTGTGTTAAATTGACAATTTCTATTATTTCTTGGAGAATGGCAATTTTAGTAAGACGAATAACAATTTCTGATAAGCAATTCATACAAATTTAATTTTCTCTTTTCAAATGATAATTTCCACATTTATTTAGCAGATGACAAGTTTTGATAAGCAATTCATGACAAGTTTAGTTAGACGAATGACAATTTTAGTGAGGTGAATGACAACTTCTGATAAGCAATTCATACAAATTTAATTTTCTCTTTTCAAATGACAATTTTCACATTTATTTAGCAGACGATAAGTTCTGATAAGCAATTCATTACTTGTTTAGTTAGGCGAATAATAATTTTAATAAAGTGAATGACAACTTCTAATAAACATTTTATACGAATTTAATTTTCTCTGTTCAAATGGTAGAATTTTCATATTTCTTTAGCAGATGACAAGTTTAATAAGGCAAATGATATAATTTCTATGTTTCTGTCACTGCATTTCTATCACTACGTTTATGATTAAGTGGACAATATTAAATAGCTCTATATTGTCATAATATAGAACTGATTAATTTTCTCTTTTCAAAATCACGGCATCCTCATTATTTTCACATTATATAGTTACAACACTACCAAGCAAAATTACAACAATGGTAAGCCAAATAACAAAAAGATGGAAATGTTTTGACAGCATCTAGTTTATGCAAGATTCAATGATAAATGCACCTCAAATTAACAACAACCTCCTTCAATTAACATCTTTCATCATTAACTTCATCTTTCATTTCCTCTCAATGTATAAAACTACAGATTAGAACTATCATAAGCCCCTCAAAAAGCATGTTTATATCAACACCAATAGTAAATGCACTATGATGATCATATCTACTCACAAGTGCATCCTCAACCATAAAATCCCAAATGCAAACAGTCATATCATACGAATAAGAAACCATCAAATTCCACATATAAGACGAGAACTTTATTCACTTTACCACATAGCCATGCCCATTTAGCATTGTAATTGGAGCTCGTTTGTTCCTCACATCCCACACCTTAATTGATTTAGCCACAGAAATACAATTATCATACTTGTTCCAATCATAAGCTTGGAAAAGATATGGCGTGCTACATAATGACAGAACAAGAGGAAAGAGAAGGACAAAGAGAGAGAGAGAGAGGAAGAGAAGAAAGAAAGGGAAGGAGATTTGAAGAGGAAGAAAGAGAAAAAAGAAGGGCATTTCGGACATTCTACTATCATTATAAGATCGGATTTGTTGAGACTGTTTTTCATATTGTGAAACCCATTTAGCAATTTCACATATTGAAGGTCTTTATTTGTCATTTTCTATTATTATTAGTGGGGTTAAGATCCTAAAATATTTTTAGAGGTGTACCCATCATTCTTGAATATTTTGGATGCAATTCTACCCCTAGCATATCAAAATTGGATCAATCAGCATCTCCGGCCTAACACCACACAAACATCCGCCCAATTTTTTTGGCACGAGCTTCCTGCATTAAAGCACAAGGCGAGCTGGTTTTTCAGCATTGTAAGAGGGGGCTGCGGTCATCTTCCTGCTGAAGAAAATTACTGCTCAAATCTTAAATATAAGATCTTTGTAATTGGGGTCTTATATTTAGAACTGGAGGAGTACAAATTTTACCTAGGTCATTAGTTGAGGTAGAACATTAACCATGTGAGAATTAGCTCCAAATTACATATTTTACCTGGTTGTAAATGCGCCTTTTTAAGCGCTGCAACAATCTTCAAACTCTCCTTTTAACGAGAGTATCCTATTATTTAACTGCTAGATGTACCTTTAAAAATATTTTAGGTGGCAGACCTTAACCTTTATTAGTTTCTATATATTCTATCTATTTTGGGCATGCGGCAGGCCACATTGGCTCTTGTCTCTCTTTTTTTTGGCCTCTTTTGACAATAATTTTATACTTTTGATTATTTTACTTTATACAAATTTTAGTTTGATTTTTTAATTTTATAAATTATTTTTTGAGCATCTAATTCTAACGCCATTAGTTTTGTTGGTGAAAAATATTGGCATTACAATTTCAAGTGTCAATAGAATATTTTGAAAGAACAACATACTAAACTTTTAAAAATTAAAATAATTAAAATAAAATATTATTATTTACTCTCGTTCCGCAGCAATTTAAAATTGCAACTAGAAGTTTCTCCCTCATGCAACACACAGACTAGTATGTTTGATTAAATATGTAATTAGATAAGACTTACATCTAATTCAATATATAGAAATCCCAATTAAAATTATTATTCAAATCTAAAATTAATTATTAATTTTTTCATTTAAACCTCCAATTAAAATCCCATTTAATTATATTGCTTCCCATTTAATTTAATATATTTAAATCCTAATCATGATATCATTTAAATCTCATTAAATGAATATATTCAAATTGTACATTGTCATACCGCCTACTTTTTAAACGAATAAGGTATTATAAGATTTTTAAAAATATAGTTAATGAATGATTGATAGTTGATTATATCAGCTTCCATAGCAAAATGCAACTTCTTACCTCCCAAATAAACATTGAGGTTGATATAAAATTATAGAATAAACTCAATAAAAAGGTGCACTCACTGATTATTGATTGCTAATAATGAACAAGTCCATGAAGATCTAGGCGTCACTGTCTATGAGACATAAATGGTAGAGTTCATTTCATAGATTTATCATTTATGGAATACATTTGAAAAAGGTTATCTAACAATTATCTTCCCTTACATTATGGAACAATAATAAGGGTCTTGATATTGGTATGAAGTCCTGCATTGATGAATTGGATAATAGGGAACACTTTCTGGATAATAAGAAACTGTCTTGTAATCAAATTGTGTGTTAATTTTGGTATCTTTTGTCCTCCTTTCTTCTTCTTTCATGGGACTCACACTAAGTAGCTCAGCATGACCAACATACTTTCTAAGCATATTTGTGAGCTCAACTATATCCAATCCTTCTCCTATCACTTCTATTTGCTCTTTCTCTTCCCCTTTGAATCTTGCACCTTCCACTCCTGCACATCCATACATTTTATTCTCATTTAACAAAGTTCGATGATCATCATAAAATATACTTGCTCTAACAAACCATTCTTAACACTCTTGATTAGGTTCTAAATATAGAAGCCACCATACGATTAATTCGAAGGAATTGAAAAAATTAATTAAATTAGTTATTTATAAAAAATGTGTATTAGTTTTCTAAAATATCCCTTTAACCATTTGGATTGAAAACCACATTTTGACAGAAATCTCTTTAATAAGTACAATTAATAAAAATTATTTGGAGAACAAATCATAAATTTAGGAAGCAAAATATATTGAAATCTTACATTTAGAATTAAAACAACCCCTCCCATTACAAGAAATATTTAGGACTACAGAAGCATTTAAAAGTTAGCTTCTTAAATTTTGGGTAAATTCAGTATATGGATACTCACCAGAACAGCTAACACTAATCTTCAGGGCTTTGGATCTCAGCTTGTGGTTGTTCATGCGCCCTAATTTTATCACAACCTTTTGCTGCATTTATTCACACAAGATTAGTTCATCATCACAACCCAACTATCTTCATCGCTCGTTTTCACTTTTAATTTTCCCAAATTCAAATTATTCATATATGAAAAATAGGACTTGCAAGGAGAAAATACCACACAAAAAGATGGGGGGGAAAAAATTTACGTCTTGTTGGACGATCATTCGTCCTGATATGTTTATATATGAATAAAACATTTTTGTTCATTCCATTCTATTCTATTCATTGCAAGTGTGGGAGTATTGAAATTTAATTTAGGAACATAACTAAAAAAGGCGCAAATATCAATTAACTAGACAAGAAATATTAATTCAACAGTAATTGAACAGAAGCAAAATATTTCGATCTAATGAACATCACAAATGATAAATAATATATTCATTGTTTGATGTGGAAATAAAAAGAAAGAAAGAATTAATGTTCCTAACATTTTTGTTTGATTTCATGTGTCGTTTTGTATATCAAATAGATGGGTGGATGCTAAATGAAAATCTCAAAAAATAAACTTCAACGCCATCGAATAATCACAACAAGCCAAGCCACGGTTACTTTGTATAAAGAAAAGAACAAAATGAAAGGAAATACTCCTAATATTTTTTTTTTAAAATTTAGTTCCCATACCTTCATGATTTTCTGGGGAAAGTTTGATATCCGAAATGTGATTGGAGAGAGAGAGAGAGAGAGATGATTATAGAAGTGAACTTGTATGGATGGAGGCGGAGGCCAATAACACCGAAGCCTCGCATTTGCTATTTATAGGAATTGATTGCCCATAGAAAAAATTAATATACTAATTAATAATAGCCAATACCATGCCAATAATTGAGAGGAAAAAGAGTCCAATTTAGAGAGCATGATGTAAATTTCCAAGCAACGCTTGTGGGGAAGATGCCAATAAAATATTAAGTTTATAGCTTGTCACAAACCGTAAACAAAAGCAACTTATTTTATTCATTAGATTAATACCTTTGTTAGTTTTGAGAGTTTGATGGAATTTTTGTTTTGATTCTTATAATTTTAAATAATTGGTTTTGGTCCTTATAATTTTATAATTTTTCCTCTAAATTTAATGAATAATCTCTATATTTTTAACGAGTTTTGATTTTAATCTTTATATTTAAGTTCAGACAGAGTTCTTTTGAAATTATAAAGACCAAAACTAATTATTCAAGACTACAGGATCCAACAATGATATTAACCATTTTTTATTTTATATAACATATAATACTACCTTTGGTCCTAATTATAAGGCTTTATTTGTAGACTATAAATAAAGTCTTATAATTAAAGTCGGAGGTAATATTATAGATCATGTGTTTAGAAAATGTATGAAAATGAAATTATATATAAGTAAATGAAGATTAATTATATCTGTGTTTTCACATTGACATGTTCAAGCCGCAACACACCATTTACCAAATCTAACAGAGAGTTGAGGAAGAATTAAAATTCACGGCTCATCAGACTAGAAATTCAACGTTTTCAACGACCCAAATCCAAGACTGAAGCTTCATTGTACTTTCGCTGGAAACATTTTTCCACACATTTTCACCGACCTTTTCTCTTTCGGCTTGTTTTCTTTTCATTTAGTTTAATGAATGATTAATATATATATATATATATATCAATATATACTACAAAATTAAATTAAAAATGTTTCCCAGTGTGAATTGCAGACAGAACATATATATTATTCATAATTTGTGAATATTACAATTTTACATGAAGTTTCATTTTATGTAGCAATTTTGTTTTTTTACCAACTATGTAGAAATTTATAATAAGTCATGAATAAATCATGAAATGAAGAGCATGCTTTTTTTAATTTCAAATTATGTAAGATATGTATGAAAAAGTGTCTACTGTTATTTCTTGCACGCAAGGTTCTCCCGCCCATTCTTTGAAGTTGAACTATAGGATTTTTAGAACTCAATGTCCACGCAATTAGAACCTAATAAGCATAATTATGCTAAAGTGCCAAACTTATCTAAACTGTTGAGATTCTTCAAAGGACGGTTCCAACCATTTTGTCATTCAATGATTTTGGTGTTTAATTAATTAATTAATTATATGCCTCCCTCTTTACCTTCAGTTTGAAAAGAATTTCCTTTTTTTTTTTTGGCTATAACAACGCGCTTATTACTTTTAACAAAATATTTAAACTCATAGCTACACGCTTAGGAGAAGTGTTTGATGTTGAAAAGAATATGATATCCTATTGTGATTTAAAAGAAATGATGATATAAATAATTATCGTCATATTATTGATATTCTCATCATAGTTAGGTCAAGGAACTTTTTTTTTTTTGGAGTGTATTGTAACATGAGCATGAATTTAGATGATTTTATTAAAATAAAACAAGAAAAAATCAATCAAAAAATATCATTTTATTTTATACAAGAATTACGCCTTTATATAATATTTTAGCTGATTTTATTAGTTTTTAAGTTGTTCTCAACGTAATCGATTTCATAATAGAGATTTCAAGTAACGTATTAGTTGTTCAATGAATGGACAGATTATTCTGGTAAAAAAAAAAAAGAATGGACAGATTATGAAATAAATTAATAAAAAGGAGAATTAGTGAATTACAATCAAATCCCAAAAAAAATAATTACTAAGAAATTATAATAACAATTTAAGTAGCTTGTAATGACAAAGAGAATGATAACATTTAAAACTTATTTTGTTATTTTTATTTTTTTGGATCTCATCATAATTCTCTCTTAATAAAACCCCTTGTTTGTTTGAACTCAAGGGACCTGGGGTTAGGGCTGGTAATAACCTGCCAATTCACCAAAAATAATAGGTTAGGGTCGGCTAAAAAGCAATCTGCCCGTAAACAAAATTTTTCAACCCGTACTACCTAATCCACAACCAATGGCAAGTTAGCCCACTAACCCACGGGCTAATCCGCATTTATTTATTTTTTTATATTTTAAAATTTGATTAATCATTATACGTATATTATTATATTTTATATTCTATCTAAAAAATTTAAAAATATCTATATTATTTACTTATTTGGTGTTTTTAATCAAGTATTTGAAAGAAAGATAAAATTTTCATTATATTTTTTTATATTGTATAAAGAAAAATGTTTTTTTTAAAAAAATAATAATAATCCGTCAACCCACCATGACGGGTTAGCTAAAAGCTAACCTGTTATTACAAGAGACTTTTTTAACCCGCACTGTCTAGTCCTAACCTGTCATGATTATAATTTAGTTCATATTACTACCTCTGTCTATGGTGATGATGGAGTCCGCATTCCATGCGATATGAGCAAAAGCCCATCATTAAAACTACGTCGTTAGGTTCAAGCGACCAATCGTGGCCGTTAACTGTAATATCATCATAGCCGCTCACTGCTGAGGGATTTTTGCTGCATTCTGGATTTCTGACCCAGCGTTCTCAAGAAGGAAGGAAAAATTGTTGTAAAACTTACTCAAAAAAAAAAAAATTGTTGTAAAAATAAACAATGATTGCTGCACCGTTGATTATACGAACGGTTGCAATGCTGGGCATTGAACAAAACGAATCGTTTCTATGGAACGGAACCCGAACCAGAAAGAATCACCAAAGAAACCACACAGAAGTTCGGAAGAGTCCAGGACACCGGATTTGCAAACCAGACCGAGACAGGCCGGCGAAGATTCACTGTATCTCCGAACGTTCAGAGCTGTGAATGAAGCACGCCTGCGAAGTCTAAGTCAGACCTGAGCCACGAACAAGCATGATAAACTCGACTCCACACAGACGCCAGACAACACGGTCCTCCTCCTCCAAAGAACCAGACAGCGTTGGTGAAGCAAATGAAGATTAAGGAAATAGTACGGATAGCTGGTAGTAAGACTTCATTTCCTAATAACGTATTTTGTGGAAGTTGTCAATCACAGAATTAAAGTCATCTCTTCCATTTTGCAAGCTGAGGGAAACTCGTGTGCTTGGTCATTTTTCAATTTTTTTTTTTAAAAAAATCGGCTGTCTATCTATTTAATTTTTGTCAGATGATAGAGATATTAAGGACATTTAGTTTTTCTTTGAAGGTGGGCCTTGGAGAAACTGGAGAATTTGAAAGTGATAACCAACTTTTGGCTTAAAAATCTTCAGACATTTTTTCCATTAATAAAATTTGGAGGATTGGGTATTGAGCTTGGAGCGTGTGTTGTGTGCATTCTTTTGTTAAGTTTATCCTTGACTTTTTATGCACCATTTCTTTTTAATTTTTATTACTTCATCATTATTCTATGTTTTTGGGTCGCTGATTTTGTTTTGTTTTTTTAATGCAGAATGGTGAAGAAATGGATTCTATAACATCAGTCATACCATTAGATTGATTTTCACTGGATTTGGATTAACTTTATCGTATAACTTTTAAGCTGGTACTTCCGTAAGTGTGATTGAGTTGCTTGCACCCAACTTCTCTATTAGTTGCTAAATCCTCTGTATGCACGATGGATGGTAGCCAGCGGCAAGAAAATAGCCAACAGGCCGTGGATCACCATAGAGGAGTACCCTTCCTGGTAAATAGAAAGCTGAAGTTTTGTTATTTTGTTAAAGGATGTGCCACTGGAATCATTTTATTATAATGGAGTTTAACGGCGCTATGAATAATGCCTTCCCGACATCAGGTGAAGGAACTGAATGCTCTAAAAGTTTTGGAGGTCTCAATTTTGGAGTCGAGTATCCCAACAGTTGGTAATTGGGCTTTTTTGGATATTCATATATGATATCATAAATGTGATACTCCAAAAGTCCAAATCTCAATTCAGGAGGTAAGGATATTCCCGTCTCTCTGCGTTATTTGCTCATGTACCGAGCATTTTAGTGGTCAAGTTTCTAAGAGTGCTGAAGAAGTCGTTTTGAACAAGGATTAGGATACATTTATGGCCAAAAAAGGCAGAATGTTGTTTATAAATTTCGACTATCGCTTTTATCATTCTAAGAGTTGTAATTTATATTGGTATATGGGGGACATGTATGTTTGAGCTGGTGTCTCCCTTTCCCTTATGCCCTTATCCCGTTAATCTCTGAAGCAGGCTTAGGCTTATAGTCATAGGGTTTACAGTTTACTGTTATGAATTTTTTGACTCTTCTGGGATTCACTTCACTTGCTAATAATGGTGAATTGTTTTTTACAAATGTAAGTACTCATTTCTGTTACATCTTTTCTTCTTTTTTGTTTTTGACTCTTGCTATTCCCTGCTTATACAATTGTAATTTGAAGACTAATGTTTTATTTGCCTATAAAGCCCTCTTTCAAATTTAATTTGAATTCCTTTTTTTTTTCTCAGTCAAATGAGAGTTCAACTTTACAAATGCTTGATTGGAAGAGATTGTCAAGTTAAAGTTAAAGCATTCCGACACCTTCCACACTTACTTGTTCATTATATGTCAGCTTCTACCCAGCAAAACTTGTCTCCCAAACTTGTTATTAGCCATGACCACTCTGTTCACTTGTCTTACATGGAAATAACCCAGAAGTTTTATGATGCTATGAAGGCTTGTTCTTCGATTGAGGTGATACCTATTGCACGGAAAATTCATGCCCAACTCATAATCTCTGGTCTGGACACTTCTACTTTCTTGCAGAACAATCTACTTCATATGTATTGCAATTGTGGGTTGATTGATGATGCATTTCGGGTTTTCAGCGATAGCAATCATCGTAATATTTTCAGTTGGAATACAATGATCCATGGGTTTGTAGATTCAGGTTGGGTGAAGGAAGCAGAGGATCTGTTTGGAAAAATGCCTATAAGGGACTCGATTTCTTGGACCACTATGATGTCAGGCTACTGTCAAAATGGAAGGCCTGGAGATAGTATTAAAACTTTAATGTTAATGGCCTGGGATTTTAATTATGTTATTGATCCGTTTCCCTTCTGTTGTGCAGTGAAGGCTTGTGCCTGCCTTGGCTGCATTAAATTGGCTGTTCAGTTGCATGGCCTTGTGATGAAATTAGGTTTATTTAGTGAAATTTGCATTAATAATGCAATTGTTGATATGTATATCAAGTGTGGAGCTGTCAGTTCTGCTGAGAAAGTGTTTTCTAACATTGAGAATCCAAGTTTATTTTGTTGGAACAGCATGATATATGGTTATTCTAGATCAAATGGAGTTCAGAAGGCTCTCAGTACATTCTCTCAGATGCCTGAACATGACTCAGTTTCTTGGAATACAATGATCTCAATTCTCTGTCAACATGGCTTTGGGGTCCAGAGTCTCAGTATGTTTGTTGAGATGTGCTCTAAGGGATTTCGAGCAAATTCTATGACCCATGGTAGTGTACTAAGTGCATGTGCTAGCATATTTGATCTTGAGTGGGGTAGTCATTTGCATGCTCGGATTCTTCGCATGGAACATAATATTGATGCTTTTACAGGGGGTGGGCTGGTTGACATGTATGCTAAATGTGGGTGCCTAGAATTTGCAAGGCGTGTATTTGACAATTTGGCAGAACATAATGAAGTTTCATGGACTTCCTTGATCAGTAGAGTGGCACAGGTTGGACGTGAAGAAGATGCATTAGCACTATTTAACCAAATGAGGTGGTCTCCAGTGAAGCTGGATGAGTTTACCCTTTCCACTGTACTTGGGATTTGTTCAGGTCAAAACTATGCCACAATTGGAGAATTACTTCATGGATATACAATAAAGAGTGGAATGGATTCATCTGTTCCTGTAGGGAATTCTATCATTACAATGTATACTAAGTGTGGAAATATTGAGAAAGCTGGCCGCGTATTTGGATTAATGCCGATTAAAGATATAATATCTTGGACAGCAATGATAACTGCATTTTCTCAAATAGGAGACATTGAAAAGGCTTGGGAATATTTTGAAAACATGCCTGAGCGTAATATCATTACTTGGAACTCAATGTTAAGCATGTATGTTCAACATGGTGGTTGGGAAGAAGGTCTTAAGTTGTTTATTTCAATGAGAAGGAAAGGAATTGAACCAGATTGGATCACCCTCACAACTTCAATGAGCGCATGTGCTGACTTGGCTTCTTTAAAACTTGGGATGCAAGTTGCTTCTCAAGTTGAAAAGTTTGGCCTTAGTTCTGACATTGCAGTTTCAAATGCTATCATTACCATGTACTCAAGATGTGGGCAAATCAGAGAAGCGCAAAAAGTTTTTAACTCAATAAATGAGAAAAACCTGGTTTCTTGGAATGCTATGATGGCAGGATATGCTCAAAATGGTTTAGGTAGGAAAGCAATTGAGACATTTAATGATATGTTGAGGACAGAGTGCACACCTGATCATATAAGTTGTGTTTCTGTTTTATCTGGTTGCAGTCACATGGGACTGGTCGAAGAAGGGAAACATTATTTTGACTCCATGGTAAAAGATTTTGGCCTTTCTCCAGCAAATGAGCATTTTGCTTGTATGGTAGATCTGCTTGGACGAGCTGGGCTACTAGATCAGGCCAAGAATTTGATAGAAGGAATGCCTTTTAAGCCAAACGCCACTGTATGGGGGGCTCTGCTAGGAGCATGTCGGATCCATCATGACCCAAGATTAGCAGAAATTGCAGTAAAAAATTTGATGGAGTTGAACGCTGAAGATTCCGGAGGTTATGTTCTTCTATCAAATATATACACTGATTCTGGGGAGCTAGAAGGTCTTGCCAATGTGAGAAAGATGATGAAAGAGAAAGGAATTAGAAAGAGCCCAGGTTGTAGCTGGGTAGAGGTTGACAACAGGGTGCATGTATTCACCGTAGATGACACCAGTCATCCACAGGTAAAGGAAATTTACATGAAATTGGAAGAGATGACGAAGAAGATAGAAGATACAGGAAGATACATTTGTGCTGTTGACGGTCATCGGAGCCAAAAGTACCATAGTGAAAAGCTTGCTTTTGCCTTTGGCCTAATTAGCTTGCCGTCTTGGATGCCCATACGTGTGATGAAAAATCTTCGTGTCTGTGATGACTGTCACTTGGTGATAAAGTTAATGTCTTATGTCACCTCAAGGGAACTTATTATGCGTGATGGATATCGGTATCATCATTTCAAGGATGGTTTTTGCTCTTGCGGAGACTACTGGTAAATGGTAATATATCATAAACAACCTAAATTTAGCCCCTTTCTTACCCTTCTACCTGTGCATTGTTTTCTCTTCGCAATAGATATGTTTTTTTTCTCAAATTAATGCTTCTTATGTTGAAATCTTTTTCTTTTCTTTTCTTTTTTTGGTGACAAAATCTCTTTCTTTCTATACAAAGTAATAGATAAATTGACTTCTGTAGTATGACAAGTGCATTTATTTGAGTTAATATAACATGTGAAAGAGGACAAAGCAGAGAGAAGTGAGCAAGTATTATGGGAATCATTAGGCATGGGAAGCAGAACAAGTAGGCTGGCTATTCATGAAGATGATGAAATTGCTTGCCTGGATTGTCTGAGAAATGTCCTTTTTGGCGTCTGTTATTTCTAGAGTGTTGAAGTTATTGTTGCATGCAGTCAAACGCAATTGTTGTTCCCATGATAGATATGGATCGGCCTAAAGAATGTTTTGAGAAATAAAGTTGGCATGTAGTGAAACAGGCATGAAAGTGTTATACTTAAAAGTGGAGGCTGTACTTTTTTTTTTTTTTTGACCAGGGTGGAGGCTGTACTTAATCATAAAAATTCAATTATCTTTTTAGGTGTTAATATTTAGTTTTTTAATCTTCATTTTAATAACCAAATTCATTTTTTTGGCCAACTAAATTCATCTTTTTATTATCAAAATAATCAGAATAATATTACAATTAAAACATGCCTTTGTCATTTGGTGCAGTTAAGTAAGAATAATTTTTATGTTGACTGAAAAATAAATGTAAAGAATAATGACTTTTGTCAACATTAATCCAAACAAGCATGATGAATACTAGAAAAAACTAGACATTCTGAGGATTTGGATTGCTATAGATGGAAAAGGCAAGTGTTAAAAGAATTTTTATACCAAAAAAAGGGTGTTGCAAGAACTTTGTCTATTTTAATAAGTTTGCTCAACATGATTAACCTCTTTTACCGTTTGCCTTCTAGAGATTATTCAGGCGAAAAGAAAACTTCTGGAAATTAAAAATATAGTAAAAAAGAAACCATAAAAAGTTAAAAACATTAATCAAACCTTTTTAATGATTAAATGAGGTTAATTTATTTTATATGTAAACATTCAGTGCTTTTCTTTCCCTCAAATTCAAAGTACGTTTTCCCCTCATTCTTATGCTACCAATAATCATTATTTTAATTTTTAATAAAATTGAAAAAAGGATATACAAAACAAAAAAAAATTACGATTTAAAAGGAAAAACAAAAAGAAAAACCTGGCCAAAACTAGAAAAATTGTAGTTTGCATCAGTGAAAAGCTGGTTCTTATAATTCATTTAACTAACATGTCTGTTTTCAAACAGCTCATAACAGTTGTGGAATTGGCTGAAGTAACACATAAATATATGCTAAAAATTTCACATTGCCTTATTATTCTTCCCTTTTCTTTCGCCCTCATCTCTCATTTCAGCCTCTCCCTCGAGAAATTTTCTCCCCTCAAAAACTAACTTTCTTCCCTCATTCCTCTCTCTCTCTCTCTGCTTCAACCCAAAAAAAATTCTCTCATTCACTTTTCTTTTCAAATCATCGTTTTCCCCAGACTCCAACCCCTCTCATCATCAATTTCTTTCTTAATCTAATTCAAAAGCTTTGATCCGTCAAAACCGTCTCGAGAATCAACTCCCAGGTCAGGTCTACAACTTATGATTGATTCATCAATCTTCTGGGGGAAATGATCAAGAACCCAGAAACCAACCAAATAACTCAACAATAGCTTCTTCAGAAACAGGGGGGGGAAAAATTTAAAGGTGGCATTTTTGTGACACTGCGTTTGCCCAGAGCGAGGCCGCTCTGCAACAAATAGCTTCGTTTAAATCCTCCGTTGATATTGCTATGTTAGATAATCTCTAAGGGAAGAATATAAATATATATATATATATATATATAGAGAGAGAGAGAGAGAGAGAAATATATGGCATTCTATCGTTCTTTTCGAGAACAGGTAGTGTCATCAAGATCACCTATAGTGGACAGAATTGCAGAAGAACCTGTGCCTAGCAAATCAACTCAAAGCACAGTCACGAGCATTTATCAAGTCAACATGGTGGGATATTGGAGAAACGTGACGATATTATGGACAAAAAATTACATGAACCATTCATTACACCTAACAGTTGATGGATTGGGAGGTGAGATTCAGTACAACTGCAAGATTGACGTGAAGCCATGGCACTTTTGGAGCAAGAAAGGCTACAAATCATTCATCGTCGACGGCCACCAAGTCGAAGTCTACTGGGACCTCCGGTCGGCGAAGTTCTCCGGCAGCCCGGAGCCATGCAGTGACTACTACGTTGCACTGGTGTCCGACGAAGAGATTGTTTTGTTATTAGGAGACTACAAGAGGAAAGCCCACAAGAGAACGAAGGCGAAATCTCCACTAACTGATGCAGTCTTGGTGATGAAGAAAGAAAACGTGTTCGCCAAGAAAAGCTTCTCAACAAAAGCGTGCTTCGACGAGAGCGGTAAAGAGAGCGACATAGTTGTGGAGAGTTCAAGTTCAGGGCAGAACAAGGACCCAGAAATGTGGGTGAGCATTGATGGGATAGTGATGATCCATGTAAGAAGCTTGCAATGGAAGTTTCGTGGGAATCAGACTGTAATTGTGAATAAACAACCTGTGCAAGTTTTGTGGGACGTTCATGATTGGTTGTTCAGTGAGAGTGGTTCAGGTGGGGCTGGTCTGTTCATATTCAAGCCAGGACCTTTCGAACCAGACAGTGAAAGAGAAGGGAGTGCGTTATCTGGGTGTGAGAGCGATGATGGAAGTGGGTTTTATTCAACAAAGAGCCAAGCTACCAACTTTGATTTTTGTCTGATTCTCTCTGCCCATAAAATTGAGTAATGATGAAATGAATTAATGCGTGGGAGGAAGATCGATCGATGGGCCAATAAACCCTGATGCTGCTGAGAGAGATGTTCACAAGATATGGTTGATATACTGTGGTGTTTCCGAGAGAGAGAGAGAGAGAGCAGAAAAGTGTAAGTGTTGTAAAGTTAGATGTGTTCATATGAGATTCATTCATGGATTGAACTGTTGATGATGTGAAGGATGTGAGGTTGCTCGTGTAAAGCTAATTATTGAAAAGCCTGCCTGACTAAAACCAGATAATTTTCTGGGAGATTTCATCATTTTCTTTCTCATGCAGTTTTAAATCAGATTTTTTGTACAAATTTTCCTGAGAGCGTTGAAGATATCTAAAATTGCTTCTTTAGATAGCATCTTTTTTTTCCTTTTAACAAAAGAAAGGTTCTAATATGCTAATAAGAATTGGTCCAATTGATAAAGAATCAGCTAATAACTCATAAAATCATGAGGTTGAATACCGCTGCCAATGTGCCAAAGGCATAGCATATCTTGAACGTCGCTAATAATAACTAATAATTGTGTAACAAATCGCATATTGCATTAAATCAATTTGTTCTGATTCTCTTTGTCGATTCCACCTATCTTTGTTGCCCCCATCGTTTTGGCTGTACTTATGGCCTGCATTGCATTGCAAAAAGGTGCTTTAAATGAAACGAGTCTGCATACCAAGCTTTAGAAAATACATGACTTATGTTAGTTAAAAAAAAACAGAGAGAGAGAACAAGATAACTTGGACTTTTGTCAGATGACAAATTTGGTTTAAATAATGAGTCAAAATACTGACCTAAAATTTGAAATAAAAATGAGAAGCAAGTGAAAAAAAGATGGAATTTCCTTTTTTTTTTTCTGTAATAATGGTGGTTTTTAGCCATTGTACATTGATTATATTTAATTACACAAATAAGAGTACATTTACCTAAAATCATACTAAACATATCCACCATAATCACCATTAAATTACATTCCCACATTTTTTTTTAAATAAAACTGGATACTATATATTAACCGACAGAAATAGAAAAGGAGCAACAGAACCTAAACCAGTCTAAAAAACACACCTATCTAAGTTCTCTCATCACCCACCGCCTCTTGAATAAAAAGATGTGGTTGATCAAAGATACAAAAATTCCCTGGAATCGTATGAGCTAAACTAGCTAAAGAGTCAGCGATTAAATTACAATCTCTGTATACAAAGTGAAAGTTAACTTGCCAGTCTCTAAGGAGAAACAGTTTAGCATCTTCAATGGTGTCTCTAAAAGGGTGGTCATGATTACAATCTTGAATCAGTAAGTTAATGGCCATGATTACATTCCCCCATATTTCATGAACTAAACGGCATAAAGTAAAAATGTTTTTAAGAGGGAAAAAATGCAAGCCCCTAAGTGAAAATCAAACAATAATTTTAAAAATAATTTAAAAATAAGTATATGAGAAAAATTTTGTTCCTATTTATATAAAAACACTTTTTAAAAGTGTTCTCTTGTTTAGCCAAGCACCCCTAGTTATAGAACTTTCTCTTGCTGTCACTGCCGTTTTGTGCTTCAGCCCAGTGTAAAAGCATTTGAGTCACGCAACTCCCACATTGAGCCAAGAAAGTATCACATTTTCATTAAATAAAGGTAAATTAATTTCTTGGTGCACGCAATCTGGTAATTCTGACTATACCATTTGACACCAAGTCTCCGTAAAAATGAAGTACTGTTATTTCGCAAACAATACAAGGAGAAAAAGATTGCAGAGTTAGATGTATTAATCCAAATGACTATCGTAAGGTCTGCCTGATTAAAACTACGTTACTAGGATTGGCATTCAAATACAAACCACACACAATTTACAAAAATGTCGTATTTACATCCTAATCACAACTTTGACACAATCTGGTTGTTTTAACAGCTCCAAAGCTTTGTCTATATCTGTCAATGACACTTCATGAGTTAGAAGTTCATGAAGAGGGAACTCCTGCGAAAAAGGAAATTAAACGGTTAAATATCACCACAGATTTGATAAGTAAATAGAATGTGCGTGTGTACTTGTACTGAAAATAATGCTGACCTTTTTCAGGCATTTGTCAACCACGAAAGGAAGGTCAGATTTGGGTTTTAGCCCTCCAAAAGCAGAGCCTTTTAAAGTTCGCCCAAATAAAAGTGAGCGAAAGTTGATGTGCACAAATTCTTCAGTTACTGAACCAATTACTATTGTCTTTCCTTTCCCCTGTATGAACAGAGTATGCCACCAAAAGAATTAACACATCACTTTAGAACGACAAATGCAAATAAAAGGGCCATGACAAATTGGTTCACATATTGCTTTGGCTGAAACCTGCATGCTGCGGTTGATTAAAAAA